AAACCCACTGCCTTGAGGTTAGGATTTGAACCAAAGGCTTTGGTTGAGAATTCGTCGTTCCCATGTATGGGCCTGGGCAACCTGACAGAATCCTACACACGCAATACAACGTATTTCTCTTCAAGCGGTTTCTTGATGCTCTGGCCACCGCAGAGGATAATCAACGGTGCCCTATCTGCTGCATCGGGCAGGGTGGATGGGCGTTTGGATGCTACTGCTCATGCCTTACCATCTTCCTATTCCTCCTCTTCCGCTCTTTATCTCTTACCGTCCCGTTCCAGTTTCACTTTTATCCCCCTGCTTTCAACCCCCCAATTCTTGGCCCACCCTCACCTTGCTTTGCTAGGCTTTTACCTCCTGGTTTCAACTCACATGTGAACGCGGAGCGTCACTCCTGCTCTGTCGACAAGCCCATGTCCAACCAAGCGGTCCATTTCAGTTCATGGGCTTCCATTTGGAGTCCTCGATCCTCCTTCAGACTGGCACGCCTCAATGTACGCACACTGCTACAGATCGGTCAACACGCAGCACTTGCCCGAACATTAGAGACCCTCTCGATCGATATCTGCTGCTTATCGGAGACTGGCCTGCAAGACTCGAGCTCTGGGCTCACTTTGCGACCCCATTCAGGTGACACCAGCAGCACTTTCTCATTGCACCTATCCGGTGACGATGCAGCTTCGAGTACCCGCCAAGCCGGTGTTGGTATTGCCCTGATTCCCCGGGCTGAAGCTTCTCTGGTTGATTGGATTCCAACCAGTAGCCGGGTGTTTGTGGTCCGATTGATTGGAGCATTCAAAGCTTCGAAGACGCGTGGGACTAATAGGTGTCTACTCGTTATCGCTGCCTATGCACCGACAAACTCTAGGGATGGTTCGCTAAAAGAGGACCTATCGCCACTTGAACGAGCTCCTTCGCCACAGAAGAAGCTCGGACACTGTTGTGCTGCTGGGGATCTGAACGCTCAAGTTGGAAAATTATCCACAGATGAGCTGCATCTGGGCGGCCAACATGGTGTAGGCTCCCGTAATGATAACGGTGAACGGTTACTTCATTTGTGTGAAGATGCCCGCTTAGTTCTTGTGAGCACTAATTTCCGACACAGCACATGCCGGAGGGTGACTTGGCGAATACCAGCTATGGACGCAGATCGATCATATTGCGATAACTTACCACTGGGGAGGCTGCGTCCAGAACTGCCGCTCGATTTAAAGCACATGTATGGACACCGATCATGCACTTGTACGTGCTGATCTGCGGTTGAGTTTTGACGGACGCCCACGAAGACGCTGTGAGCGCATTGACATCAGCCAACTGGTGTAACCAGCTGTTCTGAATGCCTATCAAATTACGCTGTCATGTGAGTTGAGTAAGCGCTCACTGGATGCAATCGAAGCTCACTGGTCTCATATTCACCAGTCCTTAATAGCAGCAGGTAAATCCTCATGTGGTATGTCTAATCGCCAACACAGACATTAGGTCTCTTCACAGTCTCTGGAACTTATAGATGCTCGCCGGCATATTCCGTCTGGAACCGAACACAATGAAATTCGTAAAGAGCTCCCGGAAATACTCCGGGCTAGCCTGAAGAGAGATCGCGAATCCTGATGGTCTCATCGTGCTTCAGAGATGGAAATGGCCGCTGTCCTAGGTAAGCATCGTAAGTCATTCCGGCTGATACGGGAAACGGACAGCAGAGGACCTGGTGTTAGTGATACTATACATGACGAGAGTTGACAGAATATCCACAACTTGTCAAAACGCTTGGAGCGTTGGGCTGAACAGTTTGAATAGCAAGTAAATGAGTCGGAATTCTTAGATTTCTCGCCGGCCACTGATCGCCCTGCTCCGTTGGCTGTCCCTGTGGATCCACCCACTCGCTCAGAACTCGAACGTGAGATCGGACTGTTGAAGTTACATACAGCCGCGGGACAAGATGACCTATCTCCAGCCCTATTCAAATTTGGGGGACCTGAACATGTGGATGAGGGAAACAGGGGGAGTAGGAAACTGTCCCAACCAATTGAAGCCGCTCTGTCATAGTCCCAATTTTCAAGGGAGGCGCCCATTCGGAATGCGATAACCACAGAGGAATTAGTCTGATCTCCATCGCCTCCAAATTGCTTACCTCTGTAATCCTTCACATATTGACTGGCAATTTTGATAGCCATATTCGCGAGGAGCTAGCCGGGTTTGGTCGAGGTCGTGGCTGCATTGACCACATCTTCACCTTGCGTCAGTTATTGGAGCACCGTCACCTATATTGGCGGCCCACCGTTGTCGTGTTCTTCGATCTAAAATGTGCAATCGATTCGGTGCATAGATGTGCACTTTGGGACTGTCTACTCAGGAAAGGTGTACCTGAGAAATGTGTAAATTTTATCCGAGCATTATACGCGCGTACCTCGGGCAAAGTGAGGGCTTACGGCAAGCTGTCACCACCTTTTAATATCTCGAGCGGTGTGAGACAAGGATGCCCGCTGTCACCTTTCCTCTTTAACTTCGCTGTTGACGAAGTCATCGAAAGCGAGTTTACTGGACACGACTTAGAAGGTGTGGATTTGCTCCCAGGAGAACGACTTCTTGATTTAGAGTATGCTGATGATCTTGCCCTAATCTGTGACAGCTCACAAACGTGCCAAGCGGCACTGGACAGATTAGCATCGGCTATCAGCCGATTCGGGCTTTGCTTTGGACCATCGAAGTGCAAAGCGTTCCTCCAAGATTGGTCTGGACCGCCTCCTTCGTTGACCCTTTGTGAGAATCAGCTAGAAGTCGTTCAAAAATTCAACTACTTAAGAAGTTGTACCAGCGCAGGTGGGATCGAAGACGAGATCACGAACCGGAGAGCAAAAGCACGAGGCGTTTTTGTTAATCTTCACCACTTATGGCGCCGGCGCGCCATCACTCTTGCTCCGAAAGATAGAGTCTACAATGCTGCGGTACGTTCGACCCTACTGTACGGCTGCGAAACCTGGCCCCTTAAATCAGTTGACCTAAAGAGGCCAGTTACGTTCGACCACTAGTGCCTTCGCAATTTAGCTCACCTCTGTTGTGAACACCGCGTGAGCAACGAGCCTGTTCGACGCCTTGCTTACGGCACAGGAAAAGGAACTGAACCGCTCAACACCGTTATTTCACGCACCAGGATCCGATAGCTAGGCCACGTGTTACGCATGCCAGCCCACCGACTACCGCGACGTGCGTTGTTTGCGCGCCAGGGGTGTGGACGGAAGAAGAGAAGAGGTGGCCAAGCGATGACTTGGTCAAGAGGAAAGAATCCCCTCACCTCGAAGCTGGCCTCAGTTGGAGCGTCACGGCTCCCTGGTTGGGGTCCAAAAGACGATGAACACGTTTGGCTGGATACACTTACTGATATGGCTAGGAGCCGACCTCAGTGGCGTTCGTGCTGTGAGTTTCTTTGTCCCTCCCCATCCCTCTTAGCCTCCCCCTCCAACCACGATCTCATTATTTAGCATTTTATAACTTTGCATATTAAATTATTATTATTATTACTTCTGTTGCATAGTTGCCGGTAGGTAGCTTACCGGAACGATGCCCATCCGTTACCGGTATCTCAGCTGGGTTGCACATGTTGCATTTTATTCCCTTTTTTCTTTTGATATTGCGTCACAGTAGCTGAGGTATTTCCCACCTCTGGCTAACGTGTATGGTGTGAGTGTGTTTCACCCTACAGCCAACGGATTAGTCGAACAATTCCTTAGACAAGTAAATAGCCCCGCTCTGCGCGTCCTCAGACCATAACTGGAGACTAAACGCAACCCAAAGCTGGGGCCCGTGACGCAAACACAATATTGATGCGCTAGAACGACCAAATTCATCAGTTGATTGTTTTCCCTCCCCGACCAACGCAGACTGCAAGCGCTTGTACTGTACAGCGGTCAATAGCAACATCAGGGAGGAGACCTCGTCATGGTGGACCTCATTCTGGCTAACCCCAATTAGGCCAGTAGTAATTAAACCGCAATACTAACCTGAGAGGCTACCAGCTCAAACCTACCAGGCACTACAGTCGACTTGATGGCCGGCTTATGACTTTCTACCTTTGAGTGCCTAGAAGTTGGAACACCTAACTCGCGACATTTTCACCCCTGCATTCACGTCTTTCAAAAGACGGTTTGACGACACCCTATCTCATTCGCATTAAGTGATATAGTCCGTAGTACACATAGGACGAGATAAGGTGAATCAAACCATAGGCTCAACAGCAGTTTTCCTAACGTAGCGGTGAATAAACGTGCATCAGTGTTCATGTGAATAGTTTGTCGGTTTTACCTTTAGTACTGTAACTCTCACTCTGGTCATCCTACGAAGTTTGTCAAATGATGGCTTTTTTGCCCGCTGTAACTTATTGTTCGTTGTTGCGACTAGTCTCCTATACAAATAACGACACCTAAGCCCACATGCTTCTAGTGTAGTAGTTTCCATCAAGCTGACGACAATGGATAGGCCCTGTCACTGGCTATTTTTCAACTGTTCACAAGAGATTAGCTTCACCATTTGGCATTCCAACTCAAAGCTATAAGCTTAGTTTGCCGGCACCCGGTGCCGACTTTGCCTGTCACCGTGGCGTTCGTAGGACAGCTACAGGATGCCAGCGCCTACAGAGGCACCATGGTTGGCTTGCGCTGCACCACGTACAGCTCTATCCATACACCCCATATCCAGTGTAAACCCGAAGGAATAAGACCGGGAGGCATGTGGATGTGAGCCACGTTTCATCAAAGGAGTCGGCCCACACTTTTTAACATGCACAGCAGCGGCCTCACTGTCTTTCTAATATCTTACCAGACGTACACAAGACGGTGGTTCAGCCGTAGCTCATTCCACACTGGATGCATGGAGGCCCTCTTTGAGTCTAGCACGGCTACCAGGACAGTGCATCCCGTATCCCAGCATCGTTTCACAGTCTCCTGGACACAGTAACCGAGGTGGAGGGTGTTAGACAGACAGGCACTTTGTCAACATTCAGATCAAACGCAGCCACACCGGGGATACCACAAGTAACATATAGTTTGAAGGAAAATAGAAACGCAAAATGGACGTGGAATATACAGCAGAATAACAGAGTTGAGCAAATCAATTAAAGTGCAATACTTTTCATCCAGATTAAGAAAATCTATTTTAAGTGCAACTCGGACTAGCTCAATTTCGTGAACAGGCCTGATGTATGCAACATCAACCTCAGCATGAGGCACAGACATTTGTATAATTTTAAACTTATTGTCTCTATGGTTTATCGGTGTTCCGGTTCACGGGCGTTTTACCAATGAACAGTGCCCCAGTAGCACTTACTCCGTCATCAGGCCTGCGGTAGCGCGATCAAATTTCCACCATTTCATTAGTTGCGCACTCTGCTGTACGAGCCTGCAGACGCTGCTACGTTTCAGCTAGTCGATTTTTGGAATATGTTGAACTTTCTTTGCACATCATGGAAATAGCACGGTGTTGCTTTCCAGTGACAACTAATCAACCATGAACCCCTTGTGACAACGCTTCGTTTAAGGTCAGATTTAGAAGCTGTACATTGGTGCTACTATTGGTTTCTTTGCAGCACTTTAAGCAGTGCGATGGTGAAATAAGTCAGAAAAGAGAGAAAGGCCTAAGTATCAGTAAATCCGATTTGTCAGCGTCATAGCAGACACCGAGAAAGTAGAAGCCAGCATGGAGTAATCGCTCCGTTGGACAGCACTATGTCGTTGTCACCACACATCTTTATACCTCTGTGAGGAGAACTGCGTCATGAACAGGGCCATCAAATTAGCGAGGCACAACAGCCCACGGGATGTAGCATTGTTCTGATGGCGCCGGACACACGACCACTCAGTAAAGTTAAGCAAGTGCAAGACTGTTGCATCTTCGGAAACCGTCTTGGCGGTGTACTGCCAGTAGAGCAAGACTCGTATTTAATTGACCATATTTTTAGTTGTTTTAAGTCAAACCTTTCCATTTAGTTAGCTGCCACACAATACATAGCAACTCATCGTTGCACAATGCGCACGGTGCAGTATATGCATGCTGTCAAAACAGTTGCAATCTAAGTGTTAATATGACTTACTCGGGTGAAGCCATGCCTTAGTTGCTGCTATGAAGTAAGTCACCTGCAAATTTTAACCCACATTCTGGTTCACGCCATAGACAAGCTAACCGCTACTCCTTACATTCACGAACCAACATTTTTGCAGCCCTGGTAAGTGAGGATTCTCCAACCTGACCAAGTAGGAGCCTTTTGAGGAAATACTACCAAAATGACACCCACGGTTGTCATTTAGTGGTGGTGCCAGACATCGCCCAGCCCTATTGACTCAAGTGGACACGAAAAATCAAACATTCAGTGAGAGAAATTGGTTCTTCCATCACACTAACAGACCATTTTTGACTGTGGGATTTTTGCATATTAGTTATGTACTGCGTACAGCATGAATGCGTGTAACTCTCTGTGATTGTCGCACCCATTCATACACGTTCCTGTATTGAATAATTTTACGAAATGATGGATTAGGAAGTTATTACAGGAAAGCCACCTGCGCATATTAGTACGTTATCCATAACTCTCACAAATGCCAAGGGAAACTCTATTTGCGCTGAGGTGGAATCCATAACTGACCCCACCGAATGACGTAACCGAAACCTCTGTCTGTCGGCATCTTGATATGAGAACAGTATGGGTGCATGAGTGTCACCAGTGGTTCCAACTTCAGGCCTGTCCTGGTTGTTGGTGATAACAAATTGGTATGCATAGGAATCACCTCAATGAACCTCTGATTGCGTCCGCTGAACACAAACTTGACATCCACCAATGAACTCCTAACCACAAAAGTCCTATCTTGCATGTACACAAACGCTCAAGGCCTTCGAAGCAAGTTGGCCGAACTTAGAGAACTCCATGCCTCACAACCACGAGACCTCGTCATGATTACATAGACATGGTTAAACCCTGAGATAACCGACTGTGAGATCAAGTTACCCGGTATGTCGCTGCTTCGGACCGATAGAACCGGAATGGGTGGCGGTGTGATTCTTTACTATAATACAAGCCTCCGATGTGAAGTTATCGATCACCCAGAAATCCGAGCTCCCGATTCGCTTTGGTGCCGCCTTTGGTTGCGAAACAAGGACACATGTCTACTAGCCGTGGTTTATCGCCCGCCAAACTCAACGTCGGAAATGGACTCCAAACTGTACCACGTTTTTCAGTTTGCTTTGAACAAGTCCTACACCCACATTCTTATCGCGGGAGACTTTAAAGTGCACGACATAGAAACGCCGGCAACTGACGGCACGCAGTTTAAAGCTTGTTTGCAAGAACTTATTGCTATCCACCCTCTTTACAACCACGTAACCTCTCCCACCAGATTTCGAACTTCTAACAAGCCGTCGATACTAGATCTTGTGCTAACTAACGAAGAACTCATGGTTGGCGGGATAGTTACAAGCACACCACTGGGTCGTAGTGATCATGTCACTCTACTCTTTGATTATATATGCTATGCCGAGTACCCGGAAAAGGAGGAGGATAAAGTGCACACTGTCACGCACTACAATGTGTTGTCCAAGCTTGTTAAGGATACATCTTGGACTTTCTTAACCGAATGCCCCCAGATTTGGCCTGGGATATGTTTACAAGGACTTTGAGCACACTGGTAGCGCAAGCATCGGAACAGAAGTCCTTCCAACCCAAAAATCAGAGTAAGTCATTTCTGAGGAGCAGAACACGTAAATGTATGTCCCGGAGGGATTTGGCATGGCGAAATCACCAGGGTTGCCCGAATGCCGAAACCTGGACTGCATACGTGACACATCGTAACTTCTGTGTGAAACTGATCCGCGAAGACAAGGTCACGCATCAGCAGAAGTTAATGAAGCGATTCTGCACTAACCACAAACTCCTGTATAGGCACATTAACGGCCTTCGAAAGGTAAAGCGAGGGGTTCCGGCGCTAGTCATAGCTGATGGATACACGCGATCAGCAATGGAAGCAGCTGATCTCCAACGGCTTCATTACTCTCAAACGTTCCAACAAGTGTCGAGCCCAAACATTCACCTCATTTCTAATACTCCGCCGTTTGGTTTAGAAAACATCACCTTCACTACGGAGGCTGTGTTGAAGAAATTGTTATCCTTGCGTATCCACAGTTCTCCCGGAGCTGATAACATCCGTCCAAAGGCTCTACAGGCAGTAGCTAGTGATCTAGCAGAACCACTGGCTGTTTTCTATCAGCGATGTCTAGAGGAAAACCTTATTCCACCAGTATGGAAGCAAGGGGTCATCACTCCCATCCATAAAGGAGGCAGCCGCACTGATCCTGCGAACTACCGTCCAATAACATTACTTCCCGTACTATCCAAAGTGATGGAATCAATCGTCGCAGACGCGCTGATGCAATACCTGGAAAGCCACAATTTAATAGCCCCAGAGCAACATGGCTTTCGTCAAAAGCATTCGTGTAACACTAACCTATTAATTGCACGTAATAGCTGGACTGAAGCTGTTGATGATGGAGTTGGAGTCGATGTCATCTACCTGGACTTTTCAAAAGCGTTTGATCGTTTAGACCATCGATTTCTCCTTCAGAAGCTTCGGAACTACGGCATTGGCGATCCAATCCTGAGTTGGATTAGCAATTTTCTACAAGAACGACGGCTAGTGGTGAGAGTCCGAGAATCATTTTCTCACGCAATCGATGTGACGCGTGGAGTACCACAAGGCTCGGTGCTTGGACCTCGTCTATTCTTGGTGTTCATTAACGATTTGGCGAGATCAATTACTTCCGATTTCTTATTTTTCGCTGATGATATCAAGATATGGCGAAGGATCAGAGGACCGGATGACCATGAACGGCTCCAGCACGATCTTAACACAGTGTCGAACTGGTCAGTTCAAAACGCTCTACCGTTCAACGTAGACAAATGTCGCGTAGTACAATTACGCCATTGTCATAACTACACCTACATACTTGGGACAAAGGAATTGCAGAATAGCTCCCAAGAACGTGATCTTGGTGTGATCGTACAGAGCGACCTCAACTGTTCAAAACAGGCTGAGGTAGCTGCGAAAAGAGGCAACCAGCACGTCGGCATGCTGCGAAGGGCATTCGGGAGATTTGACCCGTCAATCTTCCCAATGATGCTCAATTCCTACGTGCGCCCGCAAGTTGAGTACGCAATCCAAGCTTGGCAACCTTGGTTGAAACGCGACCTAGAAGCGATAGAGGCACCACAACGGAGAGCAACCAAGAACGTGATGGGCCTGCGGTATCACTCTTACCACCGAAGGCTGAAGTTGTTGGGAATTTTCAGCGGACGCTATCGAAGGCTGCGCGGCGATCTCATATTAGCGTATCAAATATTGAGTGACCCCAACCACGTATGCCGCCATTTGCTGAAACTTAGCCACAACACGCAGCTCAGGGGTAACTGCTTAAAGTTGAAGGAACAATATAGCCGTCTAGAGTGTCGACGGAATTACTTTTCCCTTCGAGTTTGCAAACCATGGAACGCACTCTCAGACTCAGTAGTATCCTCTCCTACCCTGGATGTTTTCAAAAAACGATTAGATGTTGCCCTCAGCTCCCAACATTTTGTTACCCAAGCTCCTCTGTTGTGGATTACGCCAAGCATGTTTTCAACAGGACTAATGTATCAAATGGACCTAAGTGAGCGACCATATTTTATTTTCTCACTCCTTACCTCAACTATCACAGCGCCCCACTGTCTTTCTGAATGTTTATGCGCGATATTCCTTTTTCCTTTTACACTGATGTTAATTATCAAAGTATTCATCTCGGCAGACGTTCGATAGATGACCCACACATATTTTAATTGCATCATATTCACCGCTACCATCCTACGGGACATGTCAAGCACTTGCTTTTATCTCGTGATAAATCATTGTTCATTGTTCATTGACAACGCTGCAGCGCCATAAGTGGTAGTACCCCTAACAGTCCCTTCTTAGGTTTTGGTGAACCCAATATCAGTTGTCAGCGTCTGTCCTTCCTCATTACAAGGGAAGTCAGTGCCATACAAGACATAACTAACTGGTGTTTTCTAAACCGTATGAACTAGCGAGAAAGCAAGGCGATTCAGCCCCCACAGTTGGCGTACGTATTATTATAAAACTTAGCATACACTGGGTGTCCATCCAGATTTGACACGGAGAATTGTGACTGTTGTTACACCATAAGGAACAACTTAATCACAAGTCTTCCACGTCTACCTGGGCAACTATGATCAATGCGGACTCACCAAGCTTGTCATAAACGCGCGTAGTTTCTAGGTGTAAACATCCACTCATTTTCCACGGATGTGGGCACCGATGATTGCTCGTCAAGGCTTATAGTATGCCTTCCATCAGTCAATCGCGTAGTTGTGTCCACGGCTCAAACGCCGCCTCATGTAGGCAGCATTGAAGTTACGCGATCGATATAGAGAAACGCCTATTGCATTGGGTTGTATTGCTCTCATTCTCTCGCCACATTCAGTTCCGCAGCTTCGCCCATGCGCGCGGGCTCGAGACCTACTCGCTTGACCTTGGCTGTCCGCCCCCCTCATTGCTCTACCGGTTGTGCCGAATCACGACACGTACAGCTATGTCGGAAGGAGTTGGGCAAGCCAATACGCCTACGCACGTGGGTTGAGCGAAAACATATTGATTGCAGGCTACTCGGCTTGAAGGAGTGTTGTCCACGCGAAAGGATAACTCAGACTAAGACTCTAATTGGTCGACGACGGACAAGTTTAGCAAGCAAACAAACGGTACTCGTTCACTCTCCTGATGCCACCTACGTTCACCTTTAGACATTAAGCGTTGACAATCACCCCCAATTTAATTGTACTTTCGAAATATGTGGCTCCAGCGCGCACTTTTGGTGCTGTGTCAAGTTCATTTGGCGGTCAAAGGAAATACTTTCCTCAAAGAGTTTCGGATGCCTGGAATTCGGGTCTACAAAGTATGTTGCTCAGGGCAAAGTACTTTCAAACGCGTGCTTCCCTTTTTAAGAGTGACGCTTACGTGTGCTACGCTGAGCCACTTCCACGCGGAAAAAGTTACATAAGTGAGTGGGCCTTCTTACGCAGCATACGATTTGAGGTGGTTAATTCAGATGTTCCCAAGTAATAATCAGCTCATCCATTGTTGTCCACCTGCTGTACCGAAAGACTAAACCTACTTTGCTAAGTGTCTTCCCTATATCCATTTGCATGGCCGGTCATTCTCAAGTCGTTGTAATCGAGATATTGGCAACTTAACGATGATAGTCTTAGCAAAGTGACGGTCACTTTTTCAAACAGACCACTTCAGAACTTGTTTCTACCACATATGAATTTCATAGAAAGTAAAAATCACGATTAAAATTCACACACAATAATGTGCCTCGACGGGTTCGATTCCCCGTCGAGGCACATTATTGTGTGTGAATTTCAATCGTGACTTCTACTTTCTACGAACTTTGTACCACTCACAAACATCCACAATTAATCTACCATCGCCCTTTGGACATTTGAAGGAAGGATACTTCGGTCCATTGGGAAGTGACGGGCGAGTGAGCCAATCTGCAACACCAGAGCAGATACTGTGAGCTCATTGGCAATACATCGCGCACCAAGCAGGAGTCATGTATTAAAAAATTGCGCACCTAATCGTCATCCCTCGGTAGCTCAGTGGTAGAGCAGCGGACCGGAAATTCGTGGGGCCGGGGTCCGATTCCCCGTCGAGGCACATTATTGTGTGTGAATTTTAATCGTGACTTCTACTTTCTACGAATTTTGTACCACTCACAAACATCCACAATTAATATGAATTTCAAATTACGCATGTGGGCAAGCTCTTTTGTATTTTAGTGTATCTGGTGATTTCCAAATGCAATAATATGCATAATCCGATATCTCTATTGGTGTCTGTCACCAGCTTCCTTTCAGCCGATTTACAATGAGATAGTGACACACCACATGCTACTGTTCGCCTGCCAAGAGAAACCAACGACGGATTCCAACCCCTGGTGAGTTTATTAAAATTAGCAACTTTTAAACGTTGCATAACACCATCACATATCATACAAATGTTTATTGCCACAGTGGTCTCGAAAACGTTTAGCTGACGTTAGGCGTGCATCGTCATATCCTCCTGGGTGAAGTCATTGTGATGACTTTACGGATTCACAGTAACTAGCAGAGGATCAGGGACTCTCATAGAGGCATGTTTGGCTTCGTATACTTACCAATTAAGATTACTAATGGCTGTCCAAAATGAAAGCTTCTTGAAAGATCAGTCATCGGAGTGCGCAGCTCTGATCGTTCCATCCAGTGTTATGCGCTCATACTATTAAAGGCTACCAAATGCAACCAATGAGCATGTTTTTTAAAGTAGTTGATGTTCATTCAGCGCTGTCAATACGCCATGTGGCTTGCAGCCTTCAAAGCAAGTGGTGGACAAAATAGGTGAATTGATTTGAACGCACCGGTTCAGATGGGCAGCACCAATGCACACCCACACTCCGTACCACTCACCTGTGTTGTATTTCAAGTTACCGTCATACGGAGAACAATACTACGGAGAAAACCTACATTGGTTCGCTGTTGTTAGATAGTGGGATGTGTACGGACGCCGGCATAATGCCTAGCAGGTGACCAGATTGCGGTTCCATAAAGCGGATGGAATGCAGGGAAGCTTGCATTTTGCATACAGAAAGGGTCCCTATTGTACTGACTTTATAAATGACATTGACAAAGATGCTAGCCGGGAGCAGACGAAAAGCTGCAATAAATGAGGCGGTCAAATGATGGAAACCAAAGAAGGTGCCAATAAAAGTATGTACTCGATTCAAACGATTGAACTCATCATATACTTCAAGATTACGTACCGATCCCGTAAGTATACCATGAACTAGTGACTTTAGTTAAAACTTTACACAACGGACCCATTCAAAAGGGGAAATTTCCAAGCTGTTACAGCGCGAATTACGCTCCCCCAACTACCTTTCCAAAGTGAACCTTCTTGCGTGCTTATTGGACTAGCTGACTCGCTTCGATTGTCTTAGATCCTGTGCAGATTATTCGGCAGATTACTTGGCGTTGCGGACAGTATAACTGGGCGGCTATTCCAGCGTGCATGGTAGACATAGGGTAGCAGACAGGAAGAAAAATAGTTGCCAACATCCAATAATGCGTCTGCTGGAAACTTCAGTGTTGGATATCGGAATGTATTTAATTCTAAACGGAAACTGTTCACCTTCACTTTATGTAGTTGCTTCCGTTAGCACAGCCGCACACTGTATTTTGGCATTTATCTGAAGGATAATGACGAACATTTGGTCAATTTTAGATGAGCATCCCACCACTCGTGCTGTCGTATTTTCCAATTGTATCGGGGTGTGCAAAATGTCGCTAAGTCAATTCCGAATACTTTTAGTGTAGGGATAGAGAAAATGCAAGTTCTTTGATTTTTTGCTTTGTTCAATAGTTTTCTAGTTAGTCGAATGACAGCATCAACTAAACTGCTGCACTTTAATTCAAACCCAATACTGCAACATACCAGTAAGCTTACTAGCAATCTAGTACAGCATGAAGTAGGTATTAGCTAACCAAGCTGAATTCACTTTGTACGCGCTTTTTACATTCTTCAGGAACTGTGACAATGAAATGGTTTCCCAGCCCGTTTGTGCAGGAAACTCGATGATTCTGTTCTCTTGGGCAATGAACGCGCCAGGATTCAAAATGCCAAACGGTACGTGTGGCGATTTCTTCACAATACGAATCTAAATTAACGTTGTCGATAAAGGAACGGCCGATGAGGCGATCAGTGAATTTTCTTGTGACAACTCTAGTAAGACAAGATCACGGAGATTTGGTTAGCAGCCACGAATTCATAGGTAAGACCAAGCATTAACTATCTCATCAACAAACTAAACGGCGTTGTTTCTGGAAATTTTTACCAGTCACACGCACTGAACAAGAGATGCATACCTGAGCACCATCTTGCCCGCACACCACCTGACACCTGTCCCCACGGGAACAGAGCCTAGGGGTCGTGTGTCCTAGTTTCCCTGTTTCTTATGCAATGTGGATACGTCGTATCACGAGGTGCGCAGATTGTGTCACAATGTTATCAAGTATGCCAAATAGAACGAACACTTGATGTATGTTAACTTTTATACTCACCAGCGTGAAATCCGCACACCTTAGGTAATCTTTCGATGGATCCTATATTGCATCCTCACATGCCTGCATTCGCTGTATTCCAACATCCCATAGTTCATGGGCTATTTGGGCTTCTTCTGGTTGTGCAGCACATCATACTGACGTGAACTACTTACGCTCACGGAGTGCTTACTGGCTATAAGTTAAAAGCTTTCGTACTGCGGTTGTATGTTATGGGACGTCTTGCATAGGATACCTGTTGTTGCTTACACTACTTTCCAAGTCGACAGAACATGGAGGACGGTGGCCGCTTTATTCTTTAAACCATATTTGTAAGACACTTCAGACGGTCTAAATCTTCTGTTCAAGCCAATATTTGGCGATCCGTCAATCGAATTTGGCTATTGTGATCCAAATAGCATAGGTTTGCTTCATAGCAAACTGTAGCCTCAATTGAGATGGTGTGTCGCAATGCAGACACGCGGCGGGTACTTCAAAGCCTAATTATAACGCATGTTACTTTCTTCTCAGGAATGCAACAGGTCGATCCAGTCCGTCTCATCCAGGCTCTTCACACTCATGATGCATTCAGCTAGTAGCACTTTTCCTCAGTGTCTAACTGGTAGTCAGCTCCAATATTTCGCCTTCATTGCAAAAGTGAGTTTTAGCAACAACGCACCTACATCAGACTGCTTCCTCATCGTCCACAACTTCGATCACCCTCTACGACTGTAGCGTTACTCCGAGACGATGAGCTTTTGAGGCGTGAAGGTGGAGCCCAGATTAGTTCAGGGCTCAGCGTGCATCAAACACGTTTCCGTAGCAAACGAAGAAGCAAGCTAAACGGGGCCATGACATTTGGACGATATTCATGAGAATAGGCCCAACATGCACCACGAGGGCAGTTGCGCATGGGGCTTGTGTGAACCACTTGCCTGACTGGTACTGAAGCAAGCGCACATGCTACAATCTCATGAACTATGTGTGGATTTGCAGTTCACAACATCTCAGGAGAACTGTTCTAATGCATTGTTATCGTGAAGCCGACTACTGACAACCTACATGGTCCGGTGATTTCAATACGGATATGGAGAGAGTATACTTCCTGTTTACAGAAGCAGTTGGAGATTTCAAGCCCTTTAGATTACTTGGTGATGGAAGTTGAGTATGCGGCGATATGTGAGTGCCGTTCAAACCGTGGCTCGATCGCATCGTTGGAGTAGGTCACACACCAGCATGAGCAGTTTGTAAAGCATTTTCACGTTCAAGGTCAATCTTTGACCCAGTTCTCGCATGTTTCCAGTTAGGCAATGAGCACAAATTGATGCGCAATAAAAAAAACTTTGCCCGAGACACCTTGGCGACTCTCACCGACATTAACAAAATGCTCGAGCCATCTGTGCTTTGCCTCTCACTTCACACGTGGCCACGATGTCAGTCCAGAGAAACAATAAACTCGTCTAGCAAAATGAGACCAAATGTTTACAAATCGAATGACCGCTCTTGTTAGCAGTCAGTCGTCCCGGACAGGTACTGACGGTACAATGACGAATACTGTCCTGATTCTTGGCCACTTACCTAACCCACGCATGTTGATCTACAGACAATTAATTGCCGGAATGGTAACTGCATGCTGACAAATGTGCAATGTTTACATAGGGTCCAGGTTACCAAACTTTTTGCGCGCTTCATTCCGTCAATCCACCATTGGCAGCAGTCAGTTCTTCCCCGTGTGTATCTGTCACATTCCGCATCACCGGCTCTGATTCTATCCAATGCTGCTGAAAGCCCGATATCATACGCGTCCATTGTCGCTGCATGGGGATCATAAACAAAGCTAGTGGCCACGTCTGAAAACACCTCAAAGGGAGTTCGAAACTGTACTAATGCTACCGCGGAATGGATAAATCCACTCAGTTAAAAACGCACTCTTATTTTGATTGTGAACACTCAGAAGCAGTAGAAATCATCAGATATGATACGCCCTTATATGCCCGATCAAAGGTATTCTCTATCAAAGGCAAATTATTGACTGGCCTGAAACAAACATTATGAATCCAGATAAAACCGGCCAGCTTGCTTAGCATCGTTCACCATTCGAACAGTTTAATGCATCTAAGTTAAACTACTTCAGGAGACACCTCAATCGCGCATCGAAGTAGAAACCGCTCTGGAATGGAGGTTTCGGTGTTGCTCCTCCCAACACCCCACAACCGGTTTCGTCCTCGTTTGGAATCATCAGATGGAGATAGACTGAGCTGGGGTGGAACTCAGGGTCTAGTCGTTGTAGGTTGACGCCTTGATCACTATGGCTTTAAGATCCGTGAGCAACGCTTGGCACAGCGATAAGCAACTCAACGCTGGATTTGCAGTACCAGCTGTAACGTTGAATTGCGACACGCATTCTCTATTGAGACCTCGGCCATTCCGATCACAAAGACGGTATTCGAAAATGGTGGTATTTCCCTTGTTATCCTATGTCCACGGGACTTGCCGCGCACTCTTCGTATTTTCCGTGACGTCCCTTGAGACGAAGATCAACAAGTATCCCGTTGAAAAAACGAAGACCAGATTTGACCCTAGTTCCTGTGGCTGAGTTGCTGGCATACTTACGCAATAATGGGTCAACCTATTTTTGTCACCAGTTATAGATTGCCGTCAGTTGCAACACATTTATTGTATACGCAAGTTGATAACCCTATGAACCCAACCATTTCGCTACAACCTGACAAAGCATAAGTTGCCTAACCGTTTGTCTCAGAGTGATCAGTTGCCCTCCCGTCATAACCAACGCACTCATCACGATTAATTGACGGTACTTCTGTTCATGCGCCTATGGTTGGCGACATCCGATTCCGGATTTGTCTGTCACTGTGGCTTCCATGGGACAGCCACAGGACTCATGCATCGACTGGGGGGACTATTAGTGGTTTGTGCCGCAACGCCCACAGCTCTATCCACACACCCCATATCCGATGTAAACCCAAAGGAATAAGACCGAGAGGCTTGTGGATGGGAGGCATGTTTCATCAAGGGAGCCGGCCGTCACTCTTGCAACATACACAGTAGCAGCATTCCTGTCTATCTAAGTGGAGAAACATGCATACCAGATATACACCAGGCGGTGATTGGGCCGTAGCCCGCTCCACACTGGATAGTCCTATTGTCTGAGCATAGCACGGTCACGACGAGTGTGTACCGTCTTTCCAAGCTACGACTAACTGCCTTCGGGAGCCAGTTTAACCGAGGTAGCAATTTCTCGACGTGTAGGTACCTTGTCTAGATGCACATAAAACGCAGTCACACCGGGGTTATCAAACAGCGAATATACAGTATGAAAGCAAATAAATACGCAAACTGGACAGTAGATTTGCAGCAGAATAACACCACGGAGTAAAGCAAAAGATCTGTATTAAGTGTTATCTGGTGTAAGGGTGATCTTGCTCAAGTGAAATTCAGGGGAAATCGATCAACGGGTAACGAAAGCAAAAAAGCAATAGCACGAAGTCAACACGAAAGACCGTCATCTGCAAGTGGGTGCTCTAGTCAACCGAAGGTTGACCGACATCGTTAGACTGCCCACTTTTCGGAAACTGACGCGGCCAGGTCAGTTCTAACATTTCACTAATTTCATGTGAACGACACCCCAGTGTGTCAAACATGAATACGCGAACGCTGTGTAAGTGCGAAAGTACAACCTATGACATGCAAGAAGACAGCTTTTCGAGACGTTTAATCCAGAGGCACAGAAGATTCGGGTTACCAAAGAAACGCTATCGCCCGCACAGAAACAGAATTTCCACATTGAGCCCTTATTCAAGTGTAGCGCGTAAGAGATGATGACGACTGTACACTTAAGGCTGCGACATCCAGAGCACACACATTGTGGCAGAAACTGTTGTTTCCTTAGTATCTGGAGATGAGTTTCATCTTGAGCACTCAAAATGCAAAATTCTCCACGATTGGCATGGACCGTCCCCTGCGCTGACCCTTAGTGGTAATCAGTTAGCCGTCCATATATTCAAGCGCCTATTCATCTATATTGGCGCCTGTAGAACGGAAGATGAGATCACGAACCGTATGGTAAAATCTCCATGTGCTCTCGCTCAATTTCACCTGTGGCACTGGCGCGAAATCACTCTCGCAAGCAAGGGTAGAGTCCACAATTCACTTATCGTTTCAACGCTCCTGGACGGTTCGGAAACCTGGCCCATCGGACCGACAGACATAAAGAGGATTGTTAGGTTCGATAATAGCCGCTTTTGCAGTTAGGCCTGCATCTGATGAAAACACCGAGCGAACAGGAAGGCGAGTGAATCGCTCACCAGCGCTATATCACATACCAGGCTCCGAAGGTTAGTCTTTGTGCTGCGCATCCACATCGACTCCCGCTATGTGCTTTATTTGCGTCATCTAGTTGCGGATGGAAAAATAAGAGGGCAGGCCAAGCGATGACTTGGTCAAGAGGAATGGTGTTCCTCACTTCGAAGTTGGCGTCGGTTGATGTCTCCCGACTGTCGGGTTGGGGTCCGAAGGACCATGAATACCTCTGATTGGACACAATTGCTGATATGGCAAAGAGTCGTCCTTTTTCTATCACCAATGTCCATTTGCTTCTGAAGAAAATAGAGGCACTTAAAGGTATCAGTAACTGTTGTGAAGACGCAAAACTAGGAATCAGTATGGTGCAACAGACCTGGCTACATCAAAGTTTGAGGACGCCGTTGTAGCGATTGGCGGTTTAATCTGCTTTCGTGCCGACCGGCCATGCACATACCGGAACCGTAGCGGCGGTGTCAGCACCTTTATTGACGTTGCTTTGTGTTTATCAGTGAAAATTTTGCTCTGCTGCAGGTAACAACGTATCAACTGTTAAGTCCAACAGTGTATGCCGAAATATCTGAGTGGATACCGTTCGATTTTATTGCTCAAGATTTATATATACCCCAGATGTTCCAACTCGGAAGCAGACAAATGTTATGATGACTCTACGCTGTTGTCATCGGGCCAATATTTTCTGGTGCCTTCCATAGATTCGATACCACATTCCTTACAACTCTCGAGTTACATACTTCTGTTAACTGTTCCACCAGGTTAGAGGCAACCCTTGATGCACTAGTCGATGTGGCTAAGATCCCGCCTCAGTGGCGTTTGTGTTGAATTTCTTTCTCTCCCACTTATCTTCCCCCTCTAACCACGATCTCACACACAATGCGTACTATGATCTTAAGCGTTATAGTACTGCTTGTGTACTGCATTCATCATTTATTTTGTTTTTTATACTTCGGCACAATGGCTGAGTTGGTTCTCACATTTAGGTAATATGTGCCAATGAGGAGGATGACGATATATTACGTGTAAAGAGGCTAACGCTCTTCAGTTCACGTAGGACGGCCCAGAGAAAAATGGGGGCAAACCTTGAAAGATGATGATGAACTCACTGAGGTGTTTGTATGGTAACAGTTGTAGTTCCACCTGGTTCGAAGGTAGGAGTACATCGTTTGATAGAGTTATGTAGTCTCCCATTGGCACCAACTCACATTGTGTTTACCGAATTCTGCATAACTACGGAGTCAGTTACACAGAGCTACCAGGGCTTTGAATTCCAGCGTAAGCGACCATTTACCCAGCTTTTTCAGCTTGACACCCGTGTGCAGGAAAGCCAATGACACCGTCCCATCATCAGTCCAATGCGATTTCCGTCTTCCTGATTATGTTACACCAGTTCATTTAGCAATCAATCGTAGCTCTGCACTGGATTAGCTGATACTGTATGTACAAAAGTAATGACTCGTCAACTATTGTTATCACTACGGACCACTGCGTTACACATGGTTCGTTTGGTAACGCCCTCTATTCTGCATAGATGCAACTTTTCGCGTCATCATAATTATAGTGAAGAGACTGCTAAATGCATGCGGCTGCTGGTACATCCCTCCACACAAAACCGGTTTGCCGAATGCCATAAACATTCAGCAGGATACAGTTAGAATAAGGTGCACCCGTTGAAAAGAAATGCATGTTCTCTAAAAGTTTCTTAATCTTCAACTAAACCCCACTCTCATTATATCTTTTATTCAGACACCTCTATTCCAGTTGGAGGAACAGTGTATGATTACTTGGTTCTTCAGGTACATTACAAGGACATCAAGTATTTTGCCGCTTCACGTGAGTTCATATTTATTCACCTGACATTTTACGTGTCTGTTTCAGCAGACCATACGGACAGCAGCGGTTGGCTGCTCACGATGCAGACCACTCCGTAAGCAACAATTGCTGTTACCCTATCAGCCAAAATGTATACTTTTATTTCTTTTTAATAGGAGCAAGTATCTTGCTGGCATCTATCTATTCGTCATGGATGGCGCAGTGCGGCCGTACGGTTTCAGTGAGTCATCGGTATACAGATATCTTATTGCTCCAAAGAATTGCTACACCACCCCCTAGATTGTAATCGAGTCGAGTGTGGTATACTTGTCATCAGTAGCTCGATCAGCGTAGACCACGGGCGCATTGTCTCGGAAGATGGGAGAGCACTGCCCCGTGCTCATTGGTTTGCTACTGTTCTCCTCAAGCCAGGCAGCCGTTAATCATATTGATACAAACACACCATCTCCGACCTACGGCTGTCCGTGGTCGCAGCGGCGTAATATACTACGTGAATTGTTCCAAATCCTCGCTGGATGCGTGTGAGATACCTCAAATATTTACCAATGTCATGACTGAGATAAACGCAGCGCTTCGTTGGCTTAACGAAGTTGGTCAATAATCCACTCGATACAGTCAAATGTCATGAGACGAGCAAACGCGCACGAAGATGCACACATGGTGAAAACATAGACGCGTTGGCCGGTAGGTCCATAATGCTCACTTTCAACCGTAGTCTCAGTCCGACATTACAGCCGTGGCAAAATGATAGTTTGTATCAGTGTTCTGTGCTTGCACAACTTCGCCTGAAGTAGCCTGATTGCAAAGACCTCAGCAGTGGCCAACAAGCAATTGGTCATTCCTTTGCGGTTGCGCCTCGGTCCCGTGTAGACTACTTGTAGACTACTGAACGCATCATCAGTCCGAATCTGATGACCGATACTAGCCACACGCTCGAGAATACAGGACAATCTTTTCCGTACAATGTTACAAAGAGGCAGGGTGGTGCTCCGCTATCCGCTTGGAGTGACACATAGTCGTGCGCCAGAGGTATCCTGCACCACAGGTGCAGGTGAACAAGGGGCCTAACTAGGTCAGAAGTCAGCAAACTTCTTTCACAACGGGTCGGATAACGAGAAAAAATGACTAGCGTGGACCGGATAACTGACAAAATGACTCGCGTGCGCCCCATAATCTTGTGCACATTACTTGCATGCCAAAAATAAAAATGTAAAAGAAAGAAAGCGGGATACTTGGTGTCCAGTTTTCCATCGTTAGTAGCCTTATTGCAGATTGACAAAAACAAGAGCTAAAATGGTGCTGATTCATAGACATAATACAAATCAAATTGAAGCACCGGAGAAACAGCGGAGTAGGGGTCGTTGCTGGAACTATGGCTCACCAGAGGTACACTCAAAGTTCCTTGCTATGTTCGGAAATAAACTATATCACAAAAGAAGATTTGCAAGATTTTATATATATTATATATATATATATATATATATATATATAGCTATCAATGAACCACGGGCAATGCTGGTCTTCAGAAAACCAAATATTCCCATTTCATTAATTTGAATCAATATCAGAAATCAATTCTGGGTGAAGAATTCTTTTTGGTAAACTCTCATCGGACCCAAACGTTTACATAACACTGCCTTTTGGGAAAGCGTCAACTCGGGTTGAGATTGATTTCTGAACTGTTTGAACTATGGAAATCGAGAACTTGAGCCAGGGATCTTGATGGTATGTCAAGTGAACTAAATACACATGCATACAATACTCAGTAGTCCGAGGTAATTAGGTAGGTAATGTAACAACCATATATGTAACAACCAAATAACTAACAGTGACCGTTGGCCAAGGTAGTAGTATCGTCCGTATAAATGGTTTTGTACACATGATTCTGGCTTCAGATGGTCAATGTAGATAGCCTCGGCGATGGATAAGAGCTGTTTGTGGAATCCTTGGGAGAAGTGTTCAGGTAGTGAGTAGATGACTTTGAAGTCATTCTCTGAAGATGTATGGCCACATTCAAGGAGGTGCGACAAGATTGAGCTGTCTATGGACCTTATTTCGCCTTTGTAAAACCATGCCGGGATGTGTTCACGAATCCTCTGAGACAGGCGCCTCGTCGTGCAACCCACGTACCGTGCACCATAGGAGCACGCGTACAGATAAACGACCACTGAAAGGGTCAACGACGGCAGTCTATCCTTCAAGGGTTTTGTAAGCAACGGCTTGTTGTGAAAAACGATTCTCAGACGGGCCGCGAAATATGTTTTCTCAACAGCATCTTTCAGGCGTCGGGATAACATATCAGCTGCAGAATCACCCTTAACTGGTATATGGAAAGCTATTTCTTAGGAGCAATGCTCCTCGATGGCTTTCGAATGCGTTCCTCAAATGTTTCATGGTAAATTTATCATGATAATCATTTTCCCTGAGGGCGCGGCTGATTCTCTGTAGTTCTTCGTTGACGGTATCCTGTGTACGAATATATGGTTGTTACGTTACCTACCTAATTACTTCGAACTACTGAAGATGGTATGTGTGTTTATTTAGTTCCCTTGGCATACCATCTAGATCCCTGACTCAAGTTATCGATTTTCATCCTTCAAACAGTCCAGAAGTTAATCCCAACCTGAGTTGACGCTTTCCCCAAAATTAGTGTTATGTAAACCTTTGGGTCCGATGAGTTTACCGAAAAGAAATCTCCACCCTGAACTGATTTCTGATATTTCTTCATATATAGTTATGGTTTATCAACGCCTAGGTTCCGAATCTACGGACAATAGCTACCCTCTTCGTGCCTCTGGCGTTACTGAGTCAAATGAACAACTGGCTCAAAGTATTTACCGTGTTTGCATTGCCCTCAGAAAAAATGCTGCAGGTAATTTACTCGAATGGGTACAAGTGTACGGCCGTCCGACTCCGAAACTCTATTGGGGTTAATACACACTGTTTGAAGACAATGTGCCTTTCCATCGTTTCTTCTTGTGCTCCGACTGACTGCAGTACGGAGAGTACCAAAGACGCTTTATAATACCATATTTCATGCATTATCCGTATGGCGAAAATATGTTGACATCGTGATTGTTGCTGTTGACTTGAATGTCCAAGTGGATCGTCCTTCAGGGTCTGAACAACCCATGGCAGCTGACTTCGGGGTCAATGGAGGCTAAAGCGACGGGGGTGATCGATTCCTGCAATTATGTGCCGACCATAAGCCTTATTTGAGCAACACCAGTTTCCAGCACAAACATTCACATCGTGACTCCTGGCGCTTACCGAATTCCTCAATGACTTGAACCAAAACTGACCATATTACTATAACTTACAGAAAGTGCATATTCGTCTTTTGTCGATCAATTTGGAGCACTTGCCTGGATTCTAAACATGTAGTGCGCGCACGCCTTGCGCTCACATTTCCCGCTTCAAAGAACTGCCTAACTTCTAAGCTTCTTATTTGTAACTTGAACTTGCAGTCCGCA